TCTAGGCCCGAAATGTCAGCCTTCCTGCTCCTCTGATGTTGCTTGGCCTGCTGTGTTCATCCAGCTCTACACCTTGTTATCTCAAATTCTCCAGCATCTGCGGTTCCTACTATCTCTGAAACAAGGAAGCTGATTTTGGTTGTTAGGTGGTCAGTTATCTCAGTTCCAGCACCTCGTTGCAGGAGTTTCTTGGGGTAGTATCCTCAGCCCAACTATCATCTGCTGCTTTATCAATGACCTCTTCCCCCATCGTAAGGACAGAGCTATTGGTGTTCGCTGGCAATTGCACGATCTTCAACAATATTTGTGACTCTTCGGATTGTGACCCAGTCCATGTCCAAATGCAATAAAACCCGGACAATATTCCGGCTTGGGTTACAGAGGCAAGTAACGTTAGAACCACACAAATGCCAGGCAGTGACCATCTCCAGTGAGAGAATCTAACTAGTAACTGTAATTTTCTCAAATTTTATTCTAACTTTTAAATATTTTAAAATTGATTAAGGGCAGTTATGAGGGCCTGAATGCAGAGTTAGCTAATATGAATTGGCAAACTAGGTTAAAGGACAGGTCAATAGAGATGCAGTGCAGGTATTTAAGGAAATATTCCAGAATAACAGAAAAGATACATTCCAATTGGGAAAAATAATTCCGAAGGAGGGCCCACCATCTGCGGTTATCTAAAAAACTTAAAAAAGAGAAAAAAAAGTATAATTATGCAAATTTTACAGATGGAGCACCAGCAACCAGGTGCCATTTGCACTGATGCTATTGGTACAGCATCACTAGCCTCGTTAGCTAAAGATGTTACTCTGCATGAAATGGTCAGCAGTGATTGGATCTTGGGCCTGTGTAGGACACAGTGAGGCAGTGAATAAGGGTCACCAGTGATTAGAAGGCTGCAGGAGTATACCGAATGTGTTGAATGGGTCAGTATGTGGTATTGTTGTCGCTTGAAGGGCTTCCAGCTTGTAGACCTCAATCTCCTTGAATGGCTTTCTAGTGTCGTTCACATGCAGAAACCCCCTTTTTACCCCTCATTCCCCTTGTTGCTTGACTTTATTGGATGGACTGACTGTAGTTGACCTCCTTGTGCAATCTGACTTGACCGTCCCAGATGACACGTTGACCATGATCTACTTTGGAATGTAGAGACATTGATCCCTGTATAGAGTGTAACCCAACTGGATACCTAACCATGGCCTGGCTCCTCCGAGGCTGCCCTTGATGAACTGATTCAGAGGCCCCTGGCCTTCACTGAGGACCACTGTGTTTAGACTTTTGAGATGCGCCTGTTTCCTTTGCAGCACATGCTGTGGAAGCTGCAGGCACATGGTCGAGGTGTAAGATTGGAACAATGCACCATTCAACAAGATGTCCACTCCCTTAACTGAGCACTGCTGGCCAGTGAACCAAGCTGTTTGGCTCTGTTGTTGCTGTAGGAGGCAAGGCAAGATGCTGTGAGAATGAGTGAGAGGCTAAGACAGCAAGGAAGTAGCACTGAGGTCCAGCTAACTCCAGTTTGTGAGCTGGGTGCCTGTCCCTGTTTGTGAAGTTTCATTGCAGTGGCATTGCAATGCTGGGTGTGCCTATTCTTGCCACTCCATGAGTGAGAATCAACTTGATTTCCAGAACTCTGTTAGAAAATGCAATGTCTCATTCTTGACATTGAGAAAGCTCTAGCCCAATTCTCATGTGATTCTCTCAGATTTCTCACCATAGCTATGTCGTTCAGGCCCAACATGATTTTGTGGAAGGGAGATCATGTTTACCAATTTATTGGTGTGTTTTGAAGAAGTAATGTGTTGTGGACGAAAGGGAACCAGTGGATGTACTGTACTTAGATTTCCAGCAGGAATCTGATAGGTGCCATGTGGAAGGTTATTGTAGAAAATAGAAGCTCATACTGTAGGGAGTACCTAGTAGGCATGGAGAAACGATTGGCTGATTAATTGGAAAGTAGGCATAAATGAGCCATTTTCTTACGTTGCAATACTTACCAAGTGGTCTGCCACAGAGATTCTCCTGGGGTTTCAACTGTTACAGTTTATATAAATGATTTGGGTTAAGATGTCAAATGTATGAATGATAAACTTGCTAATAATAGCAAAAAATAAGTGTAGAATCACAGAATCCCTACAGTGTGGAAGCAGGCCATTTGGCCCATCAAGTCCGTACCAATCTTCTAAAGAGCATCCCACCCAGATCCATCCCCCTTCCCTATCCCTGTAACCCAGCACTTCCCATGGCTAATCCACCTAGCCTGCACATCTTCGGACTGTAGGAGGAAACCAAAGGACCCAGACGAAACTCCACACAGACAGTCATCCATGGGTAGAATAGAACCCAGGTCCCTGAAACTGTGAGGCAGCAATGCTAACCACTGAGCCACCATACCTTCCAAGTAGGGGAAGAAGGTGTGATGAAGTCATGAAAAGGGATATAGACAGGTTAAGTGAATGTGCAAAGATCTGGCAAATGGAGCACTATGAGGGAAAATGTGAAAATGACCACTTTGGCAGTGAAAAAGAGGAATATTGTCTAAATAATGAGAGATCGCAGAGCTCTGAGATGCGCAGAGATCTGGATATCCTACGTGTGAATCACAAAGGTTTTGATGCAGCACAGTAAGTAATTTGGAAAACTAGTATATTATTAGCCTCAGGAACACTACTAGATTAGTTAGCATAGGGGAATTAAATACAAAAGTAGTGGTTAAGATTATGTTTCAGTTATGGAGGGCTCCAGTGAAACACAGCTAGAATACTGTGTTCTTACTTTAGGATGGATGTATATGTGTTGGAAATAGATCAAAGAAGGTTTACTAAACTAATAAGTGGAATGGGCTGCCTGTCTTCTGAGGACGAGTTGGCCAGTCTATGCTTGTATCCACCGGAATTTAGAAGAGTAAGAGTCTACTTGATTGAAACATTGAAGGTGATGTGTTGATGTGGATAGGATGTTTCCTCTCGTGGGAAAATTGCGAAGTAGGGGGTCATTGTTTCAAAATAAGGAGTCACCCATTTTAGGCAGAAATTTAGTCTTTTTTTCCTCTTAGTGGGTTGTGAAACTTTGGAACTTTCCTCCTGAGACAGCACCTTCCAAACCCATGACAACTACCCATCTAGGAGGACAAGGACAGCAGATACATCACCACCCTTTTGAATATAAAAGCAGGGATGTACTTCTGAGGCTCTATAAGGCTCTGGTCAAGCCACATTTGGAGTATTGTGCACAGTTTTGGGCCCCATATCTCAGGAAAGATGTACTGGTCCTGGAGCGGGTTCAGAGGAGGTTCACGAGAATGGTGCCAAGAATGAAAAGCTTGACATAAGAGGAACATTTCAGGACTCTGGGTCTATACTTGATAGAGTTTAGAAGGATGAGGGGGATCTAATTGAAACTTACAGAATACTGAATGGCCTGGACAAAGTGGATTTTGGGAAGATGTTTCCATTGGTAGGAGAGACTAGGACCCAAGGGCACAGCCTTAGAGTAAAAGAAAGACCTTTTAGAACGGAGATAAGGAGAAACTTCTTCAGCCAGAGTGGTGCCACAGAAGGCTGTGGAGGCCAGGTCATTGAGTATATTTAAGATGGAGATAGGTTCTTCATTGCCAATTGGATCAAGGGTTGTGGGGAGAAGGCGGGAGAATGTGATTGAGAAACTTATCAACTATGATTGAATGGCGGAGCAGACTCGATGGGCTGAATGGCCTACTTTCTGCTTCCATGTCTTATGGTTTTATGGTCTCACCGGCAAGCTTACCTCCAAGCCCCATACCAGCCTGTCTTGGAAATAACATGCTGTTCCTTCAGTGACGCAGGGTAAAATTTCTAGAACTCTTGCCCTGACAGCGTTATGGGAGTGACTACATCGAATGTACTGCAGTAGTTCAAGAAAGCAGCTCACCACCACCTTCTCGAGGGCTGCTAGGGACAGGCAATAAATGCTGGCTTATTCATCAATACCTAAATCCTATGACCAAGTATTGACACAATACTCCAGCTTAAACTGAGGGAATAACTCTGCAGTCTAACTTCAATTGGAAGCAAAGGGCTATTATCACCTGAAGCCCCTTTTGCTTCCTATCTATTATAGCCATCCCTGTAGCTGTACAAATGTGCAGGGAGATAATTCTAATTGTATTCAGGAGGCAACACCATAGAATCAAACAAAGTCAGCTGATTACTCTTGTGTAAAGTCCTGAAAGTACATTTACACTTAGATGCAATTGCTGAAATGGCTATTTTTGATCTTTATAACCGACCCTTTTTACCTTGTTACTTTTTCACATATCTAGGTCACTTTACAGCTTATTATAATTGAAACAAATCGCTATATTAAAGACACTAACTGCAAGTTACCATTAACTTCTACCTATCAGCTACAGAAGTGCTGGTGTAAAATGGGACAATTTTTATTTTTTCCAATCACAGATCAATACATTTGTACTTTTACGTGTGGTAATGATCACAATTGCAAGCTCACAACGGCACTCCATGATGTTGGCATCAGACAGCAGCCTGGCACAACGTGTTTTGTCCCAGATATGGTGAGTCATTGTGAAATCTATATCTGTTGTTGTACTTTGTAAGCGGTACAAGGTGAAGGGCAATCCATATTTTGTTAATGTACCTTATGTAATCTGAGGAAAGTTAAGCTGCAATTGCACTCAAAATGATAAGTGCGTTTACTGAAAAGGCACTGATGCTTTTGACAGGATATACTTTATCAATTCTAATCTGCAAATACAAGTCAAATTGATTAAAAGCCATGTTTAAAAGCATTAAAAAGTGTCTCAAGGTGAAGCTGCAGATTTAAATACACTCATGAACTCCCAATATTCTTTGCAATTATGCCTTGTTCTGATTCTGTTTGTCATGAATGTACACAAGCATTCCTATTGGCCTATTTTTGACCCAGGTACCCAATGCAAAATATGACCTTGAAAAGTTTCTGATACTTCTAAACCCTACAGTTGGGCAACACATCTTGGCCAGAAAATTGGAAGAAAAGCTTTTTATGCTAGTTTTCAGTCCCGAAACAGAGTAGCTGAAGTTTCAAACATGATTTGACCTTTTTTATGGTCTGCTGACCAGACTGAAGAGTGTAGTGGGAAAAACGACTGGCACCAATAGTGAAGTGGAGCGGGAACGACAGGGAGTACATTAAACCAAATCTGAAAGAACAGTGAGAGATAGTGCCGATGCTGGAGTCAGAGATAACATAGTGTGGAGCTGGAGGAACACAGCAGGCCAAGCAGCATCAGAGGATCAGGAAAGCTGACGATCCAGCTCGTGACCCTTTCTTCTTCAGACCCAAAACGTCAGCTTTCCTACTCCTCTGATACTGCCTGCCTGCTGTGTTCCTCCAGCTCCACACTGTGTTATCTCTGAAAGAACAGTGATGTGTATGGGATTTAGGACTGGCAAATATTGCAGAGGTTATGTGGAGCATGAGCGTAGACTCATTTGAAGATGACAGTGGAAATGTACAGATTCAAGACACTGCACAACAGGGCAATGCAGTTAGGCGATTCGTGTGATGAACTTTGTGCAGGGCAGGCTACAAACATTGTGTCACCTGTAAATTATTTAACTGAGCATGTGTGGTGCATCCTCCTTAAATGTTACTCCACTTTTCTTTCCTCTATACTCTCTGCTCTTCCTTATGATGTTTACATACAATGGTCATGGTATGGTCACATTTGTCCAATGATCTTGTTCCCACAGCTGTTTCAGCATTTAGTCCCAGAGACTTCATGAACTGGATCCTTCGCCCTGGAACTTTGTTAATCTGTCTCTCTCTCTCATACCTTCCCAATGCCTGTTGAAAGTTTTCCTCTTCGTATGCGTCTAGACCCGTTTCATCATCATTTCTGCTCACTTTAGCCCAAGCGGGCTGTTTTGCTCATTGAAAAAGACAAAGAAACAGAAATATTTCTGTTTATGTTCAGTGAAGTGATTCACAGAACATTCAAGTCACTTGCACTGAGTCATACATTTCCTCACAATCTGACTTGTTCAGACACTCTTTGTTTCTTTCAATGTCTCACAGACACATTAGTTTCTCTGATGGGTTCAGTATATTGCTTTCATGACTCAATTTACTTTGATTCAGCGAGACACTTGTGTCTTTAAAGAGATAATCGCAGCTCACCATGACATTCTCAACTTTAAAAGCAAATGACTGTGGTAGCTTCAGCTCTCACTGTAATCTTACACAATATTAACAATGCTACTGCTCCTTATCATGATTTAGTGTGCCCCTGGTTTCTTGCAAAAATTCATTTGCCATGGTTGTTTCACACTGGGCTTGCAAGAAAGAGTTGCGCCTATTTAGAATTTTTACTTCAGTGTTGAAGCCTAATGCTTCATTTATTGACAGGAATTATTACTCAATTGATTTAATGACATGATTTTATTGTTCATATGAATTCAACTTAACACAATTTCTGCAATTTTCTCATTGCTGGTGAGATGCATTTGCCGTTTATTCCCAGCTGTGCCCTAATGCTTGTTCATGATATTTGCAGAAATCTCCCTGGTGCTGATTCCTTCCAATATTGTCCTAGAAAATTTTTTTGTGAAGGGATTCCTTTCAAGAAATATTGATAGTGTTTACACCAAATAAACAGTTTAATTTGTCCATCTTGGTCAGTGCTGATGTTTGGTTCTGCATCATCCATTTCCCACTCTACTTCATACCTTTGAATTCCTTTTCTTCCCATTTTTATTTAGCTACCCTTAAAGATATCTATGCTGTTTCACTCAACTATTCAATGTGGTAACAAGCTTTTTTTTGTCACGCTCCACAGTATTTTCTTGTGATTCCTCTTTGTGTCCTTGTTATTTCCACAAGTTTGATACAGTACTGTGATTAAAACAATCAATGATCACTAACCAATATATATTTATTGTAGATTATAAACAAACAAGGCACTTGCTGTCACACATACTTATTCGCCTAAGATGCTGTACCCACAGTTGAAAGCTCATAAGCTGAGTAACTTATAGCATAAAGGATGACCATTGCTATTGTATGCTATTGATTGTAAAATCTGGGTTCCTTGATGGTGCAATATTTTTCTTTTCATTCTTCTGCAGGTTGACCGTTTTGCTATATCTTAGTTACTTCATTCATTGATCACAGATTGCCTGTTTTTTTGCAGTAGGAATATCAGCCTCACCTTTATTTACAGGATAAATTGATAGCAATGTATGATAACCACATGTACGGCAAAATATGTCAGTTTAGAATGTCTGATTAACCCTGCCTGTTTTCATGTTGTGCTATGCTGGTATTTCACTGTTAGGCTTGACATTGAAATATATAAAACGGCAGTTCTTAGCTACTAGTTACCCACTTAAAATTTTAGGCTTGTCCATTCAACTGTAAGAGATTGTTTAATTGCACAATGAGTTTTAATCACTCCCAAAATGTCCCAAAGCTAACCTTTGCAAGTGTGGAGTCTAATTCCTTCAGATTTTAACTATAGTTGGAAGTTGAATTCTTTTTGAGCATTTTCTTTATATCACTTCTATCTATTTCGACATTCCATCTCCTTTTTATTTTCATTTGAAATACATGATTTTACAATGAATGAAATGCACCATCTTGCGTGGTTTATTTTGTGTGCCTCAATAAGGATTGTTCAATCTCAGTAAGTGAGTAAGCACATTGTTAATTGCCCTATTCTCAGTGCACTCAGATCTCACGGAGAGAGTGCCATGCTTTTTAAGAAACCGGATGGCCCCAAATCAGTGAAAATTCCATGATATGTCCCTGAGTAACTTATAGCATAAAGGATGACAATTGCTATTGTATGTTATTGATTGCAAAATCTGGGTTCCTTGAAGGTGCAATATTTTTCTATTGTATGCATTTTGTAATATAAAAAAAGCTTTGTTTGCAGGTATAGGTCATTTGATCAGCAACCATCAAGGACTCAATCACCAACATTATTTAGCATGCAACTTGGGAAAATGGAAATAAGTTTAATTTGAGTCACTTGACATTCTTTTATTGTCACAGCTTATGTTACCACATATCAAATACTCAGAAATGTCCCTGATATCTCTCTCAATTCTTATATCTGGTTGTACCTCCCTAATACGGCAACTTTGGGACCGGGTCTTTGCTAGACCGTGGGAGTGGAGATATATTCAATGCATATTAAAAATAACGACCTCACCTTGACTTGTATGTATAACATGCCTAGTAGATAAGTGATTTTCCAATTGGACAGCAAGAACAGGATTTTTTCCAATCAGGACAAAATGTAACATGAAGAAAGACCAAGGTGGAGCTACTATGGGGAAAACCCTATGGTACTAGGGGTGCCATCCAGAGAGTGTTGGACTAGGGAGGTACAACGTGTACTCATTATTATCATTGTGCATTTTTTGATACTGTGAGTTTATTCTGTGATATAATAGCACTGATTTACATGACTCCAGTGTCGTGTATTACTCATAGCAGGCAACAGTTGAAAAATTGGTCCATTAACTTTGTATCATGCTCAATTTCTGCTGTTAAATTTCCAGGTGCAATGTATTGTTACTACCAGCATGTAAAAAAACCATACCTATGCTGTTTAAATTCAGTTCTACTCTGAATTTCACAAGTTCAATGAAGGATTTCAACCCACAAGCGGCATTTTCCCCTATAAACCAGGCATCCAGTAAGAACACAGGCTAAAATTGGCTATAATCCAGTCATAAACAAATTTCACTGTAGCTGAAGCCTCACATATTCAGCCATAATCATCCTTATGTTCAAGTTTTTGTTCACTCCATCACAAAGATTCTCACTTTAACCACACTCCCACTGCCTACTCCCATCCTGTCTTAATCCATCTGCAACTTGAGCCTTCATCTATGCCTTTGTATATCTCCAAAGTTGACTATTCTAATCTTTGCCCGGCTGACTTCCCATCCTACCCACTACTTAGGTTTTGGATGAACCAAAGTTTTTCTGTCCGGCTACTATTGTGCCCCAGCCCGTGAGAATCATACATTCTCTTGCCAGTTTGCATTGGCTCCTTGTCCCCCATTGTCTCCAATGTAAAATTCTCATCTCTACATCCCCTATAGCCCTTTGCTTTAATCAGTGTAATCTCTTTCAGCTCTTCAGACACTCTGATAACTATATGTACCACCAATGCTGGTGGCATGTGCAACCCCTCCTCCCTCAACTCTCCATTGGTGCCTGTGTCCTTGGCTAGCTATACCTTAAACTCTAGAATTCCTTCTCTAACTACTTTCATCTCCTCTCTTGTCTCCTACCTCCTTAAATCATATTTCACCAAGTTTTTAGTCAACCACTACATTTTATGTTTCTTTGGGTTGAATTTTGTTACTTTTTGCATCTGTGTCCATAATTTCAGTCATCTAACCTGATGTCTTCTCATGTTGCTCAATGTCATAATTTGATTTAAAATGCTTCTGTGAAGAACCTTGAAATATTTTTCTACATTATACACTATATAACTGCAAGTTTTTGTCCTTATTGCATCAGTTACAATAGAAAGCGTTAAATTGGTAATGCTAAAATCAACTACATCACTTACTTCTAATAACTTGACAAATTGCATTTATTTAACACCAACATTAAAGTAAAATTGGGTGCCTAACAGATGACCAATCCACTGCTCAGGTTTTCCATCCAGCGCTGATAATTACTTTATTGTGTTTTAATTAAAAGGCAAAAACATATTGTCAAATTAATCCTTTACCAAATTCAGCTTTGTTTCAAATTAATTTTATTGTGAAACTTTCTAATTAAATTAGAGAATAAGTCTTTCTCTTTTACTGACATCTGAACAAAGCAGATTTATGATAAATGTGAGTAAACTCTATTTAATGTTTAGTTCACTGTCTTCAAATTAATACTGGATTCAGGGGCACCTTGCAGTACAGCTCCTACTTGACTGCTAGCTTAATCAAGACTATCGTAACTTGGTAATTCAGGAAAGTCATTGTGAAAGTGCTTTACAATAATTGATATATTTTGTGGTGAATAGTAATGGCACATGATCTACTTCATACTGCGCAAACCTTCACTTCATTGGCCATTCCTATTCCAGGTGTCTGCAGGTCATCCAGCAGCAAACTCTGTTGCAAAAAACAGAGGACACACCTTCTCCAACATGTCCAGGTGTACTGTCAATAATTGTGCCATTGTCAAAATATCATTGCACCTGCATTTATTGCCCCCAGACACATTAATTTCTTCATCTCAAAGTTACTGAAAGAAAAATATCATCAGCAGTGTTAATTCAAATGGAAACAACAATGAAGAAAAAAAACAAAAAAAAAGTGATGTATTACAAAATTGAATTTAATTTATTAAAATAACTTTACATCAACTTAAAATTGGTGGATTCTATCTTTAATTCTTAAGCAAACCAAGTTCCAAAATAACTGATTCATCCTATTTAACTGTCTAATCACCACACTGTCAGCGTTTCAGTAACATCCGAATGATATCTGCACATGTTGATGGTGAAGTCTTGAACTTTTTGTCAAAATACCACTTTAGATAATGCAGCCTGGAGTGAATTTGGATTGTAAACACATTTCCAACACGTGCCACAGCTTCACCAATATTTTCTTGAACTATATTACTATGTTTTTTTTAATGGTTTACTTTATTCTGTGTGCAATAATTTGTAAACAGTTTTCTTTGCAATGTTCCCTCTGTTTACAGGACAGCTATCAAGCCTGTAGTGATCCTTCTGCCAGTTTTGGGTCTGACCTGGTTTTGTGGGGTTTTGGTCCATTTCAATATTGTTCTTGCATATATCTTTGTTGTGCTTAATTCATTCCAGGTAAGAGTGCACATTTTCTTTGTGTATACTTGAATATATACTCTTTTCATCAAGAAAGATTGAGTTGAAGACATATCATATTTCAAAGCATTGTATCAGGAATCTTTAAATCAGTTTCTTACAAAGTCAGGCTGAATTAGTTAATGTCATATTCTCAATCAGAAAAGACCTTTATACATATACCATGCCTTTCACAACCTATATCCAACCATATCCAAAAGCTACTAGAAATCCCGATATAAATTGCATATATAATTTAGAACTAATATCTGTGAAATGAAAGAGCATTGATTTGCATCTTGAAATGTTTAATTTTTTTTCCTTTGAAGGATGTATGACAGCTGTAATTTGATGCACTATTGAACACAGGCAATACAGCAATCACTGTTTCAATTAACTTTTAATTGCTGAAAATTGATTAAAATTTAGAGCCCAAATCAACTCCTAACTAACAAGACTCCTTTCCTGGCGTGAATTCTCACTAGATGAGAAGGTAATTGGACACGTAAGTCAACACATTTGATTTGTAGCAACTGATCTAACAGCTATTGATTTGAGTCATCAAAAAAAACCCAGGAACACTACAAATCAGATATGCTGGCCTAAATCCTGAGCCTCCATTTAATGTTTTTGCCAAGCTACGTTCTGTGCCAACAGCAGAATCTGGCCTTTTTGAGGCTATATGTTTTGGAAGTTTAAAACAGTATGACCACACCTCTAAACTTTGTTCAAGCTATTAAATAAGTTTTCAAATTTTTTGTGTTGCCTGGAGTATTATTTCAGTTTTCCAGTGAATCATAAATAGCTGTCTGATTTTTCTCTGCAATTATAGCGTTGCCCTGCGGGGTCCTCTATCCTGGGAAATCAGAATTTTATAACTTTACAGGCCTTGCATACCTTTTGTTTCCTTTTCTCATATTATTTCTTTGAACAAAGTCACACAGTCAGCTACAAAACACCCTTTTCTGAGTGCATGATTCATTTTGCATTCATTATTTTGATGCTGCTTGAACTTTTCATTACGTGATGAGAAATAGTTAACTGTTTTTAAAGAAATACTCACACAAAATAATTGGTTATATAAATCAATTAAAAAAGTCCATCCAACTCAGTAGATGTCTGGCCCTCAAGACAAATTCTTAGTATTTCCTGTGTTGAACTACTTTATTCAAGCTAATTAATTCCCAAAAGAATGACAATACAAAAACAATGACCTCTTGCTGGTGTAAAGTGCAGTGATTAATAGGACAAATGAAATCCTGGTAAATGAAACACAAATTACATAAAATGCTTAAAACTCATGAATTTAACCTTATCTACAATTTTTTGATAAGTAGTTAAAGTAACTGAAGTAATCTGACAGATTGTTAATAATTGCCAAATATTTGGAGAATTGTCTTTTCCATAAATCCTTCAATTCAGTACCCATAAAAAAAATCTACTGTAGAAATAAATCACTTCCCTTCTCATACAGATAGTGTTTCAACTCCAGCTGAATACTTCACTTAATTTTGATCAATCTGTTAAAGGGTAAAGCTGATTTGGAAAACTTAAGTAAATCCCACGAAGTAGTCTCTCTCAATTCAAAAGGACAATGCATCTCTTGTTAAAGAAGAAACATATCATTTTGGTTCACTTTAGTATTCTTACTTGTGTTGATTTTAGACCGCTATTCATTCAAAGGGGCTTTGTTGACTACACAATATCATTGGCTGATAATTTGGTGGAGGAGTTCCTGCACCTAGGAGTTCGAGGAACTGAATTAACGTGTACGATTTAAATGACAAGATCTGTGGTGTATCCAGAGTTAGTGACTGTATTTTCAGCTTGACAGCACAGGGCTCAGTAACTCCTCCATGCCTACTCCTTACATGACATACACTTTAAACCGTGATATTTGTCATGTGGGAGGAGGAAGTGCAGTATAACGCAGAAATTAAACTTTACGAATACATTGACCACTAAATATTAATGCGGAAGCAAATGATTGACATTGTTGTATTTCTTGGCTGTACCATGTCACACAAACTGATACTCGGGTGTTTAAAAATTAATTTTGCTTTTGAAGGAATGCTGTTTTAATGATGTGAACTTGTAGAATAATCTGGTGGATCTATCTTTACAGTTTGAATTGATTGTTGGAAGTAAAAGAAATTGCAAAACTAATTGCAGAAGAAAAAATAGTGTGGTCAGCATTTGATTTCTAGCGTGATCTTTCATGATCTTCATACCTGCATCCCTGTAACTGGACTTGTAAATAACCTGAGACAACAAGGTGCAGGGCTGGATGAACACAGCAGGCCAAGCAGCAACCTGAATTGCTTCACTGGTGTAACTTTAGTTTCCATAGAGAACAGAAGGAAAAATCTTGAACTTGGATATTGACAGTTCCAAACCAGCTCTCCTTCATTCTCTTTAAGTTGAAAACCAAAACATTACACAGTCAAACAGGCTTGCTGTCTCTTGTTCTAATCCAGAAAAAGGAGATGTGTTGGTCTATTAAGTATCTCTTGCAATCAAACTCTTGACAACAGATAGACAATAACACAGTCTTTCCTTTCAGCTGCCTTTGAAAGAAGGCAAGCTGAAGTAGATTTTCTAATCTCTCAAGTTGGTTAATAATACACAGGAAATGAGTGAAGTCACTGATTATCTTAAGTAGAGCGTTTAATAATAAACAAGATGGAATCACCATGATGTTTTGTATTTGTCACACTCTCAAGCAGGCTTTTAATGACCTTCAGAAACAGCAATGTGAGCAAACTATCGTGCAGGATGTGAAATAACTCCACCGAGGCCAGTATCTCGTCAGCAAGTCACCCTCTGCTGACACATTCAAAGTACATGTCACACGCAGCACGCTCAGGGTCGGCTCCTACAGTGAACAGAACTCCTGACACCTCTGTCAGCCAGGGCTCCCTGATTGGACCAGGTTAAATACCCCAATCAGGGAGCTCATATTTCATGAGGTCCATCTGGCTGACCTTGTTCTAATTACTACAACCCTCTTCCTTTAAGTCTGACGTGGCTATGCCAGCATCCAATCCTGGTCACCAGGCATAACTTCTCACTAGCACCTCCATTTTGAACACCCCTGGATGACCCTGGTGGAGTTCAGCCAGTATCTGGTAGTGACCTTTGCTGGGGACGATTATGCTTGGTCTCCATGATAATATGCCATCCTCTATGGTCATCTGGTCTCGTCGAGTCCAAAAAGATTTCAGTTCTGGTTGTGACGGCCTTTTTGTTTCACCACCAGCTGTTTTAGTTTTGCCAGGACCAGGTCTTTTTGTGTCCACAGTCGGATATTGTCAGCGGTGACCGGAAGTGTGTCCAGAAAGTTCAAAACCAGAACGGGCTCTTCTAATGACAGCACCACCATGTGGTAAACCCACGAGTGGGAGGAGACTCAAGGCATCCAGATTTGCCACTTGGCCCTCACGATGGTATTCCAACTTGCAATTGTATGCACTCAGAATAAGAGCCCATCTCTGAATTCAACCTGAAGCTATGTAGTGGCACGGCCCCGTCCTCTTTGAGTAGCCCTAGCAGAGGTTTGTGGCCTGTTACTGTTACAAATTTATGTCCATAATGGTATTGGTGGAGCTTTCTCACACCTAAGATGCCAAACCTTCCTTCCCTATACATGCGTATTTTAATTCAGCATCAGCCAAGGTCCAGGAAGAAAATGCAATTGAGCATTCCACTCTGCTGGGCCATCGGTGAGCTAACACTACCCCAATACTGTACGGGGAAGCATCACATCTCACTTGGGATTGTAGTGTGCCAACACCTTAGACGACGATAGCTGCCTCTTCACTTCCCTAAAAGCTGCATCTTGGCTACATGACCATTTCCAAGGCTAACCCTTTTACAATAACAGATGTAGGGGTGCCAGAATGAAAGCCAGGTTACATATGAATTTTCTGTAAAAGCTCATCAACCGAAGGAAAGATCTAAGCTCCAGTACAGACCATGGGAGCCGGGACAGCTTTTATTGCCCTCACTTTATCTTCCAAACAGTGTAATCCAGTCTTGTTGACTCTGTAGCCCAAGTAGGTAACTTGGGGTGCCTGGAACACGTGTTTCCCACCTAAGGCTTATATCTGCCTTCGAGAAATGTTTAAGCACTACGTCCAAATTCTCTAATTTCTCTTTAATTGGTCTTCCCTGTCATTAGCATTTCATTCAGATAAGTGGCGACCTGGGGTAGACCTTGTACAATGTTCTCCATCATCCATTGGAAAGTGGCACAGTCTGATGATACCCCAAAAGGCAGTCTTGTATATTGGTTCAAACCATTATGGGTATTAATTGTAGCATACTTCTGGGAATCCTCTAACCGCAACTGCAAGAATGCATGGCTCATGTCCAGCTTCGTGAAGGACAGCACCTCTGCCAGTTTTGCATATAAATCCTCTATGCAAGGGATTGGGGTTTTATCCAACTGTGAAAAGCGGTTCACCGTTTGTTTGAAATCTACACAACAGTGAACCGACTGTTGAGCTTCACAATCAGTGCTGCCCATTTCGCAGACTAGACTGATTTGATTATTCCTTCACTTTCCAGCCTCCTGATTTCTGCCTCTACTTATGCCCATAAGGCAAATGGCATTGGGCGGGCCTTGCAGAAGCTTGGAATTGCTTCCTGGTCGACATGGCCTTGGCCCTTTTGATAGTCCCTGGACATTCCTGAGAAACTTCCAGGTATTTAATTAGGACTTCATTCAGGCAGCCATTTTCTAATCGAAAAATGTTGAGCCAATCAGGGTGAATCTTTCTCAACCAATTTTACTCCATCAAGCTTGGACATGAGCCTTTTACTACAATGAACCAACTGCTTTTTATCAGAAACTGGAACCAAAGTTATAACCTTAATCTGTAAATGTTCCCCTGTGTAGTTTCTCAGCCTGGCCGAGGTCTTACACAAACTTTAGGGTTGGAGTCCAGAGCGAATTTTTTTAAAGACTAGTTCCACAATCACTGGTACAGCCGTGCTTA